GGCTTTAGGGTTTAGGGTTGGGTCTCTCTCTGGAAGTCCTCGGAGCGACATTCGTCTGGTATGCCCTCCACGAGGATGGTGCTGCATCTGGGCATGGCGGTGAAGGGCTCTGGGGATTTAGAGTTTTTATTGTTTATGCCCTTTTTTATTGAACCCAGGCTCTGCTCCAGCCCTAAACCCTAAACCCCTAAACCCTAAACCCCAAACCCAAGACCCTAAACCCCCAAATCCCTAAACCCTATCCCCTCAAACCCTAAACCCCCAAACCCTAAGTTTTGTTGTTTAAGGGCCTTTTTTGTTGTTTGCGCTCCAAAGCCGGTATTGGGCAGGCTCTTGGTCTACCCTACTTAGTCTCTCAGCTCAAGAGGTTTAGGTTTCAGAGTCCTCAAACCCTGAGATCGGGTGATAAAACCCCTGAAACCTGAACCTCTTAAAGCCCCAGGGCCCCGAAGGTTCAGGGTTCAGGGGTTTAGGGGCTTAGGGGTTTAGGGTCAGCGTAGGGGTATCAAGTGCTGAAAACTTGATTTGGGCCTCTGGAACTGTCCGGGGAACTGTGCAGGGCATCATCGGGTTTTAAGATCTACTGCGCGGGTCAGAAACAAAGTTATAAGTAGGGCAGCTATAGGCTATCCCCCTGCATAGCCCCAATTACGGTGTTTAGACTAGCTTTAATAATCAATCCTACATTATGACATCGGCCCCGCATTTTATAGCTGCCCCAGAAACTTCAAGAGGGAAAGAAAGCAGTTCATGCTGCCAACACGCGAGGCGCAAGAAGAATAAAGGGGCCTTAATAATTAGAATGGGGTTTTGGGGTATACTATACTATACCTGTAATAAGGAACCCCCAAAATAGTATACCCCTATATTAATCGAGTTTGAAGCACGGAGCTCATTGGACTCTCCAGAATCCGATATCCCGAAACTGTTCAAGCCTGAATACCCAAAAACACTGGATGCCCTACACCCGGGAAATTTTCCAAGACTGCAAACAGGGCCATGCGCGGACTGACCGCCAGCAGAACTCGACGAAGCCGCGCCGGTGATCACCTCCTCCTTGCCGTTAGTGGCTGCACCACAGCCTCGAACCTTAAACCCCTAAACCCCTAAACCCTAAACCCCTAAACCCTAAACCCTAAGGCCCCAAATCCTAAAGCCTAAACCCATCAAGACCCTGCCGTCAGCAGCACTGCCCGGACGGGCTGCCGTCTTGGCTGTCCGGTCGTCTTCTGTGGCTGCTCTAAACTGACAGCATCAAGGCCTGCACCCCACCAGGACCCACGCGCGCGTCGCAGGATGCGGCCGCGGAAGGATCGCGATTTTAAGCGCAAGCTCACATAAAGTTTCCTGGTTTGGGCTTGATGCTTAGGCAGTTGAGGGGTTCAGCGTCTTTTAGGTGCTTAAGTGTATTTGCTCGGGTGTAATTATAAGCTAGGTTCCCCAGCAGCCCCGAAAAAATCAGGGTTACCTTTCTCCTGCTATTTGGCTTTATTATGAACCCACAAAGAAAAAGGGCAAAAGGGTACTACTGGAGAACCTAGTAAGGCTTATAGGGATCCGGGCTTTGCAACCCCAGATCTGGCATTCTGCAACCGGCCTTGGGAATGGTAAGCTCTTCAGCCAAGCGAAACGTCTCTGAAGATATCTTTCCTGCACGCCACTGCTGTCCCATCGGTTTCGTGCTTACGCTCTGATCCTCTGGTGAGCATGTTAGTACTCTCTCTCTCTCTCTATCTCTCTCTCATATTTTTCTATACCTTTAGACTGCTCTTTCTCCAACGTGTTGAACCCTTGTTTTAGTTATTCTTGCTCCCGCTGCAACGACAAAACCACAAATGCCACAACTACCACGCCTCTTGAATCGGCGCATCGACAATCGGAGAGTATGGCAACACACAGTGACCTAGAAATACAAGCCATCACAGCGTTCCCCTCTGTTTCTGGAACGGCGTTCATCCGAGGATATGCGTTAAAATCCAACCCTAAACCCTGAACCCTAACCCCCCTAAACCCTAAACCCTAAACCCTGAACCCTAAACCCGTAAACTCCTAAACTCTAACCCGGGAGGAGTAATCATGGGTCTACAGTACGCGCAAATCCGTCTCAGAGGTCCTGAGCCCTGAAAACGACGGACCGAACCAGCAGAACCACCCAGAGCGCGCAAAGGCCGTGAAGATAGTAGATCCAACCTCATAGACTGGCATAGTCTGGGGTTTTCCAAAGAAAGGGAAACATTTGGTGTTCGGAGATGTCTCGAGAGCTAGATCAGGAAGGACTCATCTGTTTCGGTGGCCCCAAGATGATCGCAACAGTTAGGATTTTTCTGGATCGAAACCTTCAACATCGGGCCTTCATAGTTGGAATGGGGCTCGGGCCTTCGAGTCACTCAGGCCTCTAGATGAACTAATCAGAATCCCAAATGGAGGACACAAGCCTCAAGCGGCTCAGTTAGTAGGTTATAACAACGGGTACTATATTGACACCTGGGGTGCCTACGACCTCAAACAAAACTGAATTGCTAAGTCCCATGACCCTTCAAAACTGCACGAAACTGTAAAGCCGCACAATACCTCATCGTCTAAGCCGTTAGCCCTTTTGCTGCAGGCTTGCAAGCAAGAACGCCTGGTAGTTAGCCACTCGTCCGCCGACTAACACTGTACTCGTGAAACCGTTAGCCCTAACCCTAAACCCCAAAACCCTAAACCGTGAACGCGTGATCTCTCGCTCGTTTCCTAGCCAAAACAGGCAACAGCGGACCCAAGACCATACCATGACCCCCTGCATCGCAAAATAGGAACTGTGCCCCACATCCTAGACTTTGAACTAAAAACCTGAACCCTAAACCCCTAAACCCTAAACCCTAAACCCTAAACCCTAAACCCTAAACTCTAAACCCTAAACCCTAAAGCCCTAAACCCTAAACCTAAACTCTAAACCGTCAGCCCGAACCACTAAACCCTCAAAACCCAACCTCAGTACTTTACAAACTCCAAAAACCCATAAACTCTAAACTCCCAGCCATTTAAAGAACAAGGCAGGAACTCCAGCGGGCAGAGAAGGGGCCGACGCCGTGAACGTTTCGGATGGACAGGCTCACCTTGATTTGGACTTCTGCTTTGAAACTTGGCTTAGGGTTTAGGGTTTAGGGTTTAGGGTTTAGGGTTTAGGGTTTGGCTTAGGGTCTTCATTTGGACTTCTGTTTTGAAAAAGTTTCCGTAGTTGGCCTAGGGTTCAATAATTCAGGCGTTAGGTGCACGGAGAACGAACAACAACCTGCATTACGGTATCAGGAGCCTAGGCTGTGGAACAGTCTCATATTCGTTTCTGTTAGGGGAATGCAGGGTGTTGTCCATTTCAGCCATATGAACAAGTAGGGCTCCAAAAAAGGACGAAAAAGTGTTATAGGGCTTAGTGAGGTTCACAAAAGCGTGAGAAAGGTTTTTCTGCTAAGGGTTGTATAAGGGCCTTATAGTAATAGGGGCCCTGTAGTCCATCACCGTCATTGTCATCGCTATGAACACCATGATCGGTGCCATCACCATCACGTACGAGAATACGTTCGTACAGTCGTACGTGCGTACGTACATATGTACGTACATACTTGCACGACGGATTACAAATCGCTTTCGCAGAAGAAATCCAAGACAAGTGACAAGGAGATCTGTCTTGTCCAGATCACCGTGCCCGCAGTAGCGGTGGAGCGCACCGAAGATGAAGAACATCGGTATCCTAGGGGTTGGATTTCGGGTGTTTGCGTGGCTCGGGACGAGAGTCTGGAAGACCTCTAAACCCTAAACCCCTAAACCCTAAACCCTCAACCCAGAAAGCTGGAATGCGCAAGGGTGACACACACACACACAATATGCCAAAGGTGTGTCAGGTCGTAACTTTCAATCTTCCCCTGCCCATAGACTCCATTATAGTTCCTTTTTAGGGAATACCTTGTAAACCACAACAGAAGGAACTACAAGTAGTTTTGTTGGGGATTACCTTTGTAGGATCCGCACTGTCAACCGCAAAGAAGGAACTACAATGGAGCCTACTTGGAGGGTCGGGGGACT